CTATCGGGTGCCAACCATCATGGATATCCTCGGTCTCGGTGCCGATACCACTCCTCAGGACTTTGAGGCCAGTCTGGCAGCGTCTGTAGCCAACTTGGGTGATCAAGCACATCACGCTTTAACGAAAGACAACAAGCCGACAGCACCGCGTCGATCGGGCGACCTGAGCAAGTCCAACAGCAAGCCCATGAAGGTGGACATTCTGTCCAAGGATTGTTTAATTGGACTGAATCCCCTGAAACAGCCCTCAAAGCTATTCGTTGCCCTGACAGATGCTCACCTGGAAGTCACTCTTCCCAAAGACGGCAATACTCAAGCAACGCTCCATCTCAACAAAGCATCGCTTCTCCTCACCGACGATGTTGCGAAGGCGGCCACTGTGGACGAGCGGAACACTGAACGCCTGCGTGGAGGCGATGCTGCTTCGCAACAAGTCGCTGATCTGGCGGCGAGGGGCTATGTAAACATCTGTTTCATCTCAGCGGCAAAGGTGCTTGTGAGAGTCACCGCGAACCCGGTTGATGGGGAAAGACGCTTGGATGTAGAGATGCGTGATGATTTACTCGTTCTTGAGACATGCGCTGACTCGACACAAACACTCATATCTCTTCGAACGCGCTCACACCGCCGACGCCCCCAACGAAAGAGAACAAGTATCGGACCAAAGTTGTTCCAGTACAAAACCTGCTGGCATCTATTGCACCCGAGGCATTTGGCAGGGCCGAGGGCGCCTATGACTTTGACGAAGACTTTCCAATGGCACAGGGCCTCGGGAGTGACGATGAGTACGACGTAACGACTGAGTCGGGTTCGTTGTCAGCTGCTTCGCACTTATATCAAGACGAACATGTCATGGAAGAGATCTTTGACGCCGGAGGATCGGCGATCTCGATCAATTCTGCCGCCCAAGCGAGCCGTACATCTGATTCGAACTTCAACATCAGTTCGTCGGATGTCTCTGACGGAAGTGGTGATCTGAATATTGACGAGAACTACTTCACGCACCGACAAGATCTCGACAGCAAAGCCCGAATATGGAACTCAAAACAAAACAGCTACGACCAGGCACCAGCTGATCTTGTGAGACGAAGCCCACTTCGAGTCACAGTTCGCGACGTCCACGTTATCTGGCACCTTTTCGACGGCTATGACTGGGCTCGAACGCGAGATGAGATAACAAGGACAGTGGAAGAAGTCCAGACGAAGGCACTAGAGCGGCGCAACGCAGGCCCTACGACCTATGAAGATGAAGAAGACGATGACACAGCTGTCATTGGAGATTATCTCTTCAACTCCATCTACATTGGCATTCCAGCCCAGTATGATCCTAGAGATCTGGCGCAGATGGTGAACGCAGACCTGAACGACAATGCCACTTATACCGAGACAGAGTCTGTGGCAACCACTGCATTTACTGGTACAGGAGCTCGAGCCGGAGGGGCACCAAGGTCCAAGAAGAGATTACGACTGGGCCGCAGCAAGCACCACAAAATCTCGTTCGAACTTCAGGGCGTGAATCTTGACCTCATCGTATTTCCTCCTGATTCTGGAGAGACGCAAAGCTCGATTGACGTCCGAGTTCAGACTCTGGAAGTCTACGACATGGTTCCTACATCGACTTGGAAGAAGTTTGCGACGTATGACCAAGATGCGGGCGAGAGGGAAATGAACACAAGTATGGTTCGCCTGGAGCTCTTGAATGTCAAGCCGCATCGAGACCTAGCTGCGTCCGAGATGGTCCTCCGCGTCACCCTTCTGCCACTCCGCCTCCACGTTGACCAGGATGCCCTTGACTTCATCACGCGATTCTTCGAATTCAAAGACGACAAGATACCTGTACACAGCTCCCCCAGCGACGTCCCCTTCCTACAAAGGGTTGAGATTATGGACATCCCTGTCCAGCTGGATTTCAAGCCAAAACGAGTCGATTACGGTGGACTCAAGTCGGGCCGGACTACAGAATTCATGAACTTTGTCATTCTGGACCAGGCGCACATGACTCTACGCCATGCCATCATCTATGGTGTGCAAGGATTCGATCGAATGGGCAAGACTCTTAACGATATATGGATGCCTGATGTCAAGAGAAATCAACTGCCTGGCGTCCTCGCTGGTTTGGCACCTGTGCGCAGTCTGGTCAATATTGGCAGTGGTTTCAAAAACTTGGTTGAGATTCCTATCAAGGAATACCAGAAGGACGGTCGAATCTTCCGTAGCCTCCAAATGGGCGCGACAGATTTTGCACGCACCACCGGGACAGAGATGGTCAAGCTCGGCGCAAAGCTGGCGATCGGAACACAGACCGCTCTTCAAGGCGCCGAAGGGCTGCTTACCACCAGGCCGCCGACTGCCGAGGCAACAAACTGGGATGGCGACGACCCAGCCGATGCGGACGATCATCAGAAGCAGATTAGTCTATACGCAGACCAGCCAACCGGTGTGATCCAAGGATTGCGCGGCGGTTACCAGAGCTTGATGCGTGATTTGCACTCAACCCGCGATGCTATCATTGCGGTGCCGGGTGAGGTCATGGACAGCCAGAGTGCACAGGGGCTGGCTCGCGTGCTGTACAAACGAGCGCCCACAATTGTGTTCAGGCCGGCCATCGGCGCGAGCAAGGCGATCGGCAAGACACTGATAGGGGCAACAAACTCGCTTGATCCGCAGAACCGACGACGCGCTGAAGAGGTAAGCCACCGCGCGAATTGCCCGATCAGTGTAGCCTATGCTAACTACTATCATAGAAATACAAGAGGCATTAAGTTTCAACATCCGTCTCAGTCGCGATGTCTGTTCATCTCTCAATCGATACCAAGACTGCCAAGCGGAAAGGGGCATCAAGTTTGACCCCGCGACGACGACACGAAACACTGGCATCATAGACGGACGAACTGGCGAAGGCGGCTTCGCTTCGTTTTCCTATGTATCTTGCATTCTGTTTTCTCACCCGAGGAGTTGACCACGCATGCTGAGCCGAACTACATGATACCCCCTAGACCTGTGCTTGGCCATGTAGGAAACATTCATCTAGGGGTGAGGTTGCGACCACTCATTGCGAACCGAGCTGAAGGAGCTTGAAGCTGTTGTCAGGATTTTATTTTCCAACTCGATGTGATCATTTTTGTTTCTTTAGCGAGGGCCTGGAGGCGTCCTTTTTTTTTCACCTGCTGTCTTTTGTGTGGCTTCTCTGTTTTGGAAAGCAAGATTGGGTGTGCATGGTTCCGCGCGGCTCAGGGAAGAAAGAGAGGAAATGCAGACGCAGGTCATATCACGAAAAGCTTCATAGCCACAACTTCCACAGTCAGCGGGTTGAAAAACAGGAACCATGTGGATTGACATTATAATGCCGGTCAGCGAACGCCGCACGAG